TCCTAACCCCGATTTTAAATTCCAATTTTTTCGCATGTTAATATCTGTGCAATCGTTCCACTCTTTGCCAAATTGCCCCTTATTCCAACGATCTTCAATATTTCTAAATAATTCAATCCCAACCTTGTAAGGATTAAAGCTGGTCGGAGACATCGCCAATGTTCCTGCGCAAGCATCCGCATAGTCAATGACCTCACTGTCATTCAAAATTTTCTCTGTCATCATTTTAGAGTGCCAATAGGAAGCCCATCCTTCATTCATGATTTTGGTCATTCCTTGAGGCACATAGTAATACGCCTCTGCCCTAACGATGGAAAGCACATCTTGTTGCCAGTTTTTAAGTGGAGCATGATTCATTAAGAAAAGGAGAACGTCTCTCTCGGGACGCTCGGGAAATTTAATTTGCTCCTCTCCCAGGCCTCGGTTTTCATTGGCATCACTGTCCGCTCTAAATTTTGCAGATGAGTTGATATATTCATCTAAAAACTCTTTTCCGCTTGTAAACAATGATGATTTTTGCTGATCTTCGCTTTCTATATTTTGCTGCTTTGAAATTGGCTTATATGGGCTGTAACGATCGATCAAATTTTCGATACTCAGACATTGATCAATAAACTTCTCGACCTCGTCGAGACCATAGCGGTCAATATACCGACGAATTCGTGTGGCGTGGTTAGCCATGGTGTCCATCATCTTACGATCCGTTGGAGCAAACCACTTGTTGTTCTTGAAGAAGTCACAATGTCCATACACATGAGCCATCACGAGCTTCTGATCTACAGTGCGATTTCCCTCCATGAGATAGGCATAACAGGGGTCATTGTTAATCACCATTTCATATATTTTTGATAGGCCGTATTCATAACTCTTTGAAAGACGTTCGTAATCCATCCCGAAACGCCAATGGGGATAGCGTACTGGGAAGCCGCCGTATGCGGCGAATTGATTCATCTGATCATAGGTAATCATTTCAAAAACTGTTTCATAGCAGTCGAGACCAAACTCTTGAGCAATTTTTAATATTTTAATTCTCGCTTTTTCTAGCTCTGGCGTTAAGTTTCCCATTAGCGTGCTTTCCCTAAAAAGTCTTTAATTGAATTTAGAATATGCTCTTTGTTTTTTATTCTGCTCAGTACAATTTTATTTTCCGCAGAAAACTCTTTTTCTAAATCCTTATAGAACTGTCCACTTCCATACTTACTTTCAACCTGTCCGTAACCAAAAAAATTGACCTTAGGCAAGATCTCCTCAGCCAAAATTTTCATGCTCAATTTAGTATCATCACTGCTCCAATTGTCTCCATCACTAAAATGAAATGGATAAATATTCCATTGATCAAGAGGGTACTCCTGATCAATGATATCCCGACAGACCTTATAGGCTGAACTGATTAATGTGCCTCCGGACTCACTCGTCCTAAAAAATGTTTCCTCGTCGACTTCTTTCGCAGCAGCATCGTGAACAATGAATCTTGTTTCCAAACCCTTGTAATGTTTTTTAAGCCAAGTATTAATCCAAAAGCTTTCTAATCGAACAATCTCCTTCTGCTCTTCGCCCATAGAGCCAGATACATCCATAATATAAATGACAACGGCGTTAGCCTGCGGCTGCTCTGTTTTCTTAAAAGCACGATAACGAAAATCAGCCTTTACAGGCACGACAACAGGATTTCCAGGATCGTAAATCCCGCTAGAAATATATCTTTTAAGAGCTCTTTTATAGGAAGACTTAAAATGACGTAAAGAATCAGGTCCCACTGGGGCCATGCCCGTATAGGCTGTCTTTTCGCTTTGAATTTTACCGCCCTTAGGTTCAATGCGGGGAAGTTGAAGCTCTTCTCCT